CTTGGATCTATTCATCATGCATCTGCTGATGCACAATAAAGTGCCATTGTCTTTTCTGATGGCTTCGTCACACTGCCGACTCATGTTCATCTTGGAGTCCACTAGGACTCCAAGATCCCTTTCCACTTCCATGCCACCCAGCAGGTCATTCCCTGGGCTGTAGGTGTGCTGGACATTTTTCCTCCCTAGGTGCAGCACTTTGCATTTCTCCTTGTTGAACTGCATTCTGTTGTTTTCTGCCCACTTGTCCAACCTGTCCAGGTCTGCTTGCAGCTGTTCCCTGCCCTCCGGCATGTCCACTTCTCCCCATAGCTTTGTGTCATCTGCAAACTTGGACAGAGTACATTTCACTCCCTCGTCCAAGTCTTTGATGAAGACATTAAAGAGTATCGGTCCAAGGACCGAGCCCTGCGGGACCCCACTGCCCACACCCTTCCAGGTCAAAACTGACCCATCCACCACGACTCTCTGGGTGCGACCCTCTAGCCAATTCACCACCCACCAGACTGTGTAGTCATCCAAGTCACAGCCTCTTAACTTGTTCACCAGTATGGGGTGGGATACCGTATCAAAGGCCTTCCTGAAGTCTAAGTATACGACATCCACCCCTCCTCCTGTGTCCAGGCGTTTCATTACCTGGTCATAAAAAGAGACTAGATTAGTCAGGCACGATCTGCCTGCTCCGAACCCATGCTGGTTTCCGCTCAGCATAATTTGTCCTGCCAGGCTCTCGCAAATTCCTGTCATTAGGATTGGAAAACCAGTTTCAGATTATGTAGCATGGGTTGAAATATCTTCATAAGGAGTTACAGTTTTGCCAGAAGTTCCTACTCCGTTCCAAACCAAGCTGTACCTGATATTGCAGTATTTTCTAGTCCCCCTGGTATAACTCGAGTACATCAATGACATCTTCAAAATACGGACAGGTGGGAAGGACTCTTTAGAGAAATTTCACCAGAAGTTTAACAACTTCCACCCCTCCAGCAAACTGACTCTGGAATGCTCCAACCCAAAAGATTTATTTCCTAGATGCTACTGTAGATTTGCAATGGCCACACCACTACATTGTGTCACAAGTCAGCCAACTGCTTCAGCTACCTACACACTACCAGTTTTTACCCAAGCATTCAACATTAGACGCAGCTACAGCCAAGCTCTGCTCTACTCTGATCCCACCAATCAGGATAAATGCCTTGAGGATCTAGGGCAGGAATTCTTACAATTACAATACATACAATCCCAAAATAATTCAACAAAGCCACATTCAAACCAACAAAGCCAGAGACTCAGACCTTGCTACAATACTAACCCCAGGACCAAAACAACAGAATCCCTCTGATCTGGTAATCACCTACACCCCCAGTTTGTACACTAAAACAAATCATTAGTCTTCCTTTTGCCGGAGGGTGTGAAGGTCATTATCTCAAGGTATTCATGGGCGGGCAGGGGGAAGAAAAAGAAACCTGTCCCAACTTAGAGAGAGAGACACCCCAAAAAATAAAAAAAAAAAACCAACCAAAAAACAAACAAAAAAAACTACCAAACAATGCACCTCAAACAATAGACTAACTCCCATCTTCATCAAGGCACGCAGCCTTACAATGGACCCAAATGCCTGCTGGGTCTTCACATCAATACAGACCACATCACCATTAGACCAAATAAAAAGGACTACGATATGCAACGTTCATTCACCTGCAACTCTACCAACATCGTATACGCCAGTGATTCCCAAAGGGTGTGTCAAGGAAAACTAGCACACTGTGACAGTAACAGGGATTTGCCAAGAGACCCCACCCCCTCCTTACAAGGAAGTAAATGCTCTCCTCCCCCATCTGGCACTTGGCACCTGCTCCAGCTATTCCAGCGTCCGCTACTCTAAGAACTGCTACCTAATCCACTCCCAAACCACCTGTACCAGACCCCCACCAACACTCCCAGCAGCACACACTGCTGCAAGTGGGCAGATGCGCAGACTGAGCCATGCTTTACAGCCCAACTCAGCCCTTCCATTCTCCCATTTATGTGGAAGGAATGGAGGGGATAAGTTGGGGCCAGCAGGGAGGGCAGAGGGAGAGGTTGCCAGCATGCAAGACGTGCAAGAGCAGCCTCAGCAAAAGGGCTGCCCTTGCCCCCTGAGGTAACCAGAGGTAAGGCAGGGGAAGAGAGCAGAAAGAACAAGAAACAGCAGGGTGAAGTCCTGTCCCCACCACCCTTAAGTGGCACCAGCTAAAAATCAGCTGTTCTCAACTTTTTCAGCCTTGAGGTACCCTCCATATCTTTTCCAAATTTAGATCACTGTCAGTGATTTTCAATTGCAGTATCACAAATTTCAGAAGAGATATGGAAGGGTCTTGAGGCTAAAAAGGTTGAGAACCACTGGTGTCGAATGGTTCAGAAAATCATCCCTTGCTTAAGAAAGATACCTTTCATATCATGTTTTAAACAGTATACATCTCAGCACTGGTATTATTTCTTCTGGCAGGGCTATGTTTTTTAACAAGTTGCATGCAATTGTACACACGAGTGAAGTATGCCACTAACTTTAATTTAAAAAAAATAAACAAAGGTATATCCTAATCATCTAAAATTTGGAAGACACTGATATATAGCACCACCTGTTTACAGTGTACATCTGCATTACCTAGACAGTACAAACTTACATTCAAAAAAATTAATGAGTGACAATCTGACACCAGGTGCAGAAAGGCAAAAGGCATGCATCAGAACACTTTGCTCTTCCTGGACACCACTACTAACCTCAGGATTGCTGTTCTCAGGTAGCAAAATTAAAAGAAAAAAATTTGAACAGGAAACTTCAGAACAAGACTGGATTGTGTTAATTTAAACAGGAACTACAGATTATTTTCCCACTATCTGGATTAGCTTTTATGACTCCATTTTTCCCCTATGGGTTCTTTGCTCATTTGCTTCTCTCAGCCTCTTCCCCCTCCCAGCCTTTTTCCACCCTTGCTGTTCAGATCACTTTGTGAAAGGACAGCATAGAACAGGAGTGCATAGTGTCTGATGAAGTGAACTCAAGTTCACTAAAGCTTGTGCTTTTATGTACTTCTTACTCAACTTATAAAAGCTGCATACATACCCTTGTCTTCTGCCAGTTCTTTCTAGAGCCATAGGTGAAGGTGGGGAAATTAGCTTTGGAGGAATTCCAATTTACCACCAGAAGCAGCTACTGTTCTGCTTATCTTGTCCTACAGACCAAGTCAGTATATGACTTCCCAGGCAGAATGACCCCCAGTGGAAAAGCAGGATGATGGTTTGTGGACCATACCTACCAAGTCTTTCCCTTCCTTCCCTTGTTTCTCTCCTCTTCACTTTGGCCTATAAAAGGAGATCTGCATTCAATAAAACTCAGCTGGGCTGCTTTATCCTAAAATTGAATTTGAGTAATATCTAGGGATCACAAGAAAGCTAAGCAGAAGCCAACACAGTATCCAGGAAAACTGGAAACTAAGCAGGCATTTCAGGAAGCAGGGAGGTCATATTTTATGTGAGGAAAGGGAGGAGGGACTGAAGAGACCGTCTTCAGGGGTGGCGTGCGAACAGAAACCGTGCCCAACAGAAACAGCACACAAAAGGAGGCAAAGCACAGTGCACACTGGGCAGCAGAAACCCATTCCAGTCCTTAACTAAGGGAAGACTGTAAAAACTTCCATACCAACCAACAGCTTTCCAGGTTTCCTGAAAATGCTCATGTAGAAGCACAATTTCCCTATCTTTGAATCTCAGAATTTGGGAGAGGGGTGAAAAGCCAACTTAAGTAACATTTTTAAAGTTTTAGCTTGTTTTATGACTAAGAAGTGCATAGTTTTCTCATCTATTTTTCCCCCTAGATTTGAGGCTGGCAATGCTGAGCTATTAGGTGTAAAGTCTCCTTCCTTAGGTGTATACACAAGTTGCTTTTATTTTTTTGCCATTTAAAAACGCTTTATTGCCATGAATCAACATAAGTGTATGGCTTTACAGCACTTTAAAAATAGGTACAGAGCTTTAAATTAACCCTTGTTAAATGAGGTATTAACACTTGAAGCACTATATTTTACAGTACTTCAGCAATCTACAGGGTTTTAAAATAACCTTTGTACACAGGTCAAATTTCTGAACAGTGGAGAAGCCCCAGAAAATTGCAGAGTGCCCCCGCCTCCTAGTCTGGAAAGTGCAGGAAAGATAGAGGCTCCCCACACCAAACACTGCACTTCTATCATGTTTAAAAGTGCTGTAACTTTATTGTGCTATAAGAAGTGCTCTAAATTACAGTACTAGAAAACGTGCACAAAGCATTTCTGTACACACCTCTTGTCAGCCTAAGTTTAGAGGCAGGAAGAGACAGCAGCAAACAGCTTTGGATGATGGGCAACTTTAAGCAGTTGCTGAACCCACTACAGAAACTAGTTTATTGTCCCTGAATATCTTAACACTAGATCATTAAACTTGTGACAAAAGGTTTCAGAAAGAGACTGAGGGAGTGGTTCCTATAAACACCTGTAGCTTAATGGAACCATAGCTTGTGGGGGTGAGGATATTTCCCAGAGTTTTCTGTATTTACAAACCTTGCTAACTATGGCAATTTATAACACTTATCTTTAAATACTTGATACTTCCTTTAAATCCCAGCTGCTGGAACTGAGACACAGATTCTTATCTTACATCTTGTTTCCAGTGTCAATGGATGAAGAGGAACCAAAAAAAAAAAAGCCTGAAAGCATAAAACAAGCACTCCAGTTTCAGAAGCCAGAAGACAAATGAAAAACATTTTTCAAAAATTAACCCATGCCGATTTTTGCATTTGAGGTTGGCAACATAGTAATGCTCGAGTATTTTTACTCTATATAGTCTTTTCATCTGTTTAGCAAGTTCTTAGCCAATTTCATTTTTGAGCTCTCATTTGAGAAAAAGCACTGCAGTGTTTCCCTTACAAATATTACACACAAAAGTTTTATTTATAAGCCAAGTTTGATCCAAAAATCCTTTAAGAGGCTAATAAATAATTTCATTTTTCCCCAAGAAAGTCTTAAGTGTTTTGGTTTGCCAGTCATTGGCAATACTATATTTGTTCAAATCCAAGATAACATTTTCTACCCCAAACAATGTACAGAAAAAGGCCTCATCACACATTCAAATATTGACCCAAGTATGATGGCAGCTCAGCTTTGGCTTTAACCCTGGGCTTGGGGCTGAAGCCAGAGCTAAGTTGCCACCTACCCTGGGCTGGAATGGCACATTTGACAGAGGGAAGGTGCATGAGGCCAAGAGGAGCACCTTGGGACTCGGGGAGTGATGGAGGGGAAAACCTGCATCCTGCCCTCCACCCACATTACTATGCCAATACCTGCCCTTCCACCCCATACCCCACGCCCTCTCCCCCCAACCTTCTGCTGTGGCTTCAGTCCCTTCAACCTGAACTCAGCTTTGGTGGGATGTATCATCACTTTCCCCTGGCTAGGCTAGGCTGGGCTGGACTGGGGCCAGCTCTGCTGCTAGCTGCCCTGAAGCAGAGGGCAGCAGAAGGTAAGGAGGAAGTGTGGGAGGCACACAGGCAGAGGAGGGACAGGGGGCAGGCACAGGAGGGGGAATAAAGGAGGATGGAGATGGGGGGGGTACAGCAGGGCAGGCAGACTGCAGAGGAGCAAAGCATGAGGCAGGCACAAGCATGGCAGAGCAAGCAAGGAGGACAAGAGGTAGTGTCTTGCCCCTCTGCCCCCACCACAGCAGCAGAGAAGACAAATTTAAGATAACATTCCACTAATAAGATTCTCTACATTTGTAAACAGGCAGTTTAAGGGGCACTTACCTTCAGTGTCCTACCTTGGGCTCTGCCTGAATGCTTGAAGAAGAATGTCCCAGCAGGGGCACCCTACCGGGAACTACCAATTTTGTCCCAATCAGGACACCATACTTGTAGTCCAGGATTACCCCCAACAGGGGGATTCAAGATTTTTTTTTTTAAATCAGCTCGAGAGCCCAGGAAAATTCCAGCCCAAGGATTTACTGGATGGCTCCCCTTGAACCCAGGTCTCTCCTGTCCCCAGCGGTGGGAATAAGAGGCACATGCTGAGTGAAGAGGGCTGGTAAGAGCCTGCAGCGTGGCCCCACCCCCCAGAGTGTGCGCTGAAATCTTCGTGAGCAGGCAGGAGATCAGTGGAGCATGTGAGGGTTGAGCTGGAAAGAGCAGACCCCTAGAACAAGCCCTCAGAATTCAAGCCAGCTTCACAAATTTCTTTGGGTGTGGACATAGCCCCAGGTAGCCCCTAGAATAAGACACTAATTCCCCGCTGGGGTGGAAACTTGGGGGTTGATAAAAGAATGGGATAAACCCATGTGAATGGCTGGGGAAAGGACTGTGGTGGAACTGTGGCAGCTTGGCGGAAAGATGCCAGCAAGGGAAAGTTCCCCGAATGCCAGTGCAGGCTAAGACCAAGTACCTAAGGGCCTAAAGAGGAAGTGAGACCAGAGGTGCTGCCGGGCCTGCCTGTGGCAGTGAGCTCTTTCTCCACATGCTTAATTGCATAAATAGCTCTGTGGGTTTGGAGAGGCAGTACACAAGCAGAGAAGCATGCACAGAGGTGGCTAAGAACCTGCGTTTTGTAGGGGTCTGGAGTCAGAACAGCGACTACAGACTACAAGATGCCTGGGCCTACGTGTTATAGCCCAAGACAGCTGGAGCCATCAAAACATGTGATGAGAGGAGCAAAGGACTGCCCCGCCCTCCATTCTTTGGGCACAAGTAGGGGTGAATGGTATTTAGCTGTGAATAATTAATTAGGGGATTAATATAACAAGTTTTTAGCACAGTGTATACATTATTAGCTTGATAATCTCTTAAATGCAAATATTTATTAACTGCTATTTTTGTATAAACTCACCCTGTTGTATTGTAAATAGAATATTTCAAACTTTTGATATTTAATATTTGTGTGTATATTATAATTCTTCTCTGTATAACTAAACTCTGTAAATAGTTACTTCTGAGTCTACAAGGTCTCTCCACTGTAAAAGGGAGCCTCTCTTCTCAGGGAGCCTCTGGCTACTCCTAGGTGAGCTGAGCAGCAAGCAGTAAAGCTACCTGGCACCCCAGGTCCCAAACATCTGGACACGGCCACGGGTAGCACCACATGCCAATGTTTACACGTGGAAAATTGATAAGTGTTAAAATGTTCTATATTTTCCATGTGTAGAATCTATGGGGGGGGGGGAAGAAGAGGGGGGACAAAGAGTGCAATCATCTTAAATTCAATGTCTTTTTGGAGTCTGGTAAATATGGTAATTTGCTTGACCAAAAATTCTGTTTATTTTGTTGAAAAATTCAAAATAGCTGGTCCAGACACCTATATAACGACATTTTATTTATATTAAAAGAGAGGGAAAGTCTGGACCAGGACTTTACTTCCTTGATAGCAGAGGAAATAATCAAGAGCCAGTAAGTAAGATACCAGACTATAAACTGGATTCTTCTATTCCTGGTTCAGAAGCTGGCCTGCTGCATGCAATCTTAAACAAATTCACTTTTCTTCTTCCAAACCTTTTTTCTTAGCCTCCCTCAGATTACCTGGAGCAAGCGCTCTCTTATTCAGCATGGAGGTAGAAGCATGCACATGACCACTGAAAAAAAGCAACTAGCACTTCAAGTCCATGTTCACCTACCTTGACTAGAAGTAACTTTTTTGTTTAGCCGTACCAAATTAATTCCTCCTAAAATCAGTGACTAAATAGTTTAGAGTTTGTCAATGATTTGACAATACAATATTGTCAATTTGAATAAAACAAAGCTTTCAGGACTTCATCAAAAGGAAAAAAAAAAGTCCATAGCAGCTTCATCCATTTTGTTCCTACCTCTACCCAAAAGGCTCTTGATCCACAGGAGAGAAACTCAGTTTACCAGGAAGCCTACTGGTGTTAGGGGCAGCAACTCAATCCTGCCCTTCTAGTCAGAGGCAAGGAACAAGGAGAGTAAAAATTATGCTTGCCCTTCTCATCCTTCTCAGCAGCAGTACCTCATTCCATGTTTCTACAATCCATCACTTTACGGAATAGCAGAGTGAATCTTTTAACAGTTTAATTAGTTTCATGCCAATTACTCAGACAGGAAAAAATTGAATCAAATTAGGTTTTCATTCTGCTATTTTTTAAGAGAGAGTTATGATCAGCATCAGCAGTAGAAAAAAAAATCCCTGAAAGTTATAGTGCTAGAGAGACAGCTAGAAGCAGAGCTAACTTTCTTTCAAGTCATTACTCTGCTTCACCCATTTGTTGTTTTCCAGTGCTTGAGACTTCCTAGATAAGGGAAGTGAAGTGGTAGGTGGTGGGGAGGGAGGTTATTACACAAATGCACACATAAATTAAAGCCACTCTTACGCGTGTTAGCTGCCCACTCTGCCTAAAAAGTAGCCCATTTTAATTTAGTAATAATATATTATATTAAGATTGCCATTGACACACACTGACAACTATTTTTAATTTATATTTGCTTGGGCATTTGCAGGTGCATTTCTCCTTTTAGACAGCTTCTGTGTCTTTAAGGATGGAGTAGTTTCTCAGCACAGCATTCCCCCAGCCACCCCACACTAGAAATAACATTATTTCCACAGAATTTTTATAGAAAAAGGCTGCACATTTTGACTAACATAAGGACATACCAGATACCCACAAACTCACTTGGAGACCCACATTTGGTGGTACACTTGCATCATAGCTTACTTAGCAACATGAAATTTACACACACAGGCAGATTTATTGCACTTATCCCAGCTGCACTACAGCCATAATCTCCAAAGGCAGACATGTTATTACACACAATACGTTCACTAAAATGGCAGTTACAGTTAGTTTTCTAGCACTGTTTATCATGGCTTCTATTAACAGTCTGGGCTGCCAGTCATTGCCTCCTAAGGAGCATTGCCACCTCACCTCCTCAAAATGATAGGTTTTACATCATAGCATACATGACACATGCTTGCTTAGAACCATTCTCCAACACTTCTGTAATCTCAAAAAGATTACAGTTTGAGGTAGTGTAATATCGGCCAGTATAAAAACTAATATAAGTAAATAAGACTAATGCTTAATCCCATTTCAGGGGTTTAGAGCACACACCAACTGCTGCAGCTTCCTGAGCCTGACGAAGGGTTTTTGAACCCGAAAGCTTGCTTAATAACTATTCTCCAACCATTTGGGTTGGTCTAATAAAAGATATCAAATTCACCCAAGGAACCTTGTCTGCCTAATCCCATTTCACAAATTCTAGTCTCTAGTTTCCTTCACAAAATGGCATTCAGTAATCATAAACCTTCGAAAAGCTCCTACACTACGAATTTGAATGGCACAACTATACTTACTGAGAGAAAGCCAAATGTTTTATATTCAGGTTGGAGTAACATGCAACAGACCTTTTATTTTCACACACCTTCTGCCCTCAAGCCACATAAAACATCTTGAATTTTATTAAGAATTCTGCTTTAATTTTTTGTTTTTTAATCTCAATTGAAGTCACCTTTGTTGGTCTTAATGACAGTTTTTCTTAGCTCTTCAGTTGTTTAAACTGTCCCTTAGAAAGTCTTCCATCTTTGCACCATGCAAGCTTTTTAGATTGGAGTACACAGGATCAGGACAGTTAAAATGATGAAGGGGACATCCTGATATGGCACAGCTTACACATTTAAACAGGAATTGGATTGCATC